TGCGAGTTCCCCGTGCTAGAGCTGGGCAAAAGACCCTTTCGTGTCCCGTGGCGACAGATCGAGTCGGGGGCCGCCTGGTGACCCCTCTGAGGGGAGGTGCGTGAGGGGCACCCCCGGTCCCGCTGCCCAGCAAAGCTGTAGTGGTTAAGGAAGCGGTACCCAAACCAAAGGGAACAGCACTGAGCCGTCTTTCATCAGTTGAACAGTTTTATCTTGGATAGGACCATGGATGGGGACCCCATACATAAATTTGTTTATTATGACAAGCTCAAACAAGCACTTAATGATTCTGTCCTAACTTTTTTGCGCAGCTGGACTCGGTGGGACTGGTTAACGTCAAGAGATGTCAACTCCCCCTCTCGCTGGGGCAGGCATGCCGCCTGGTGCTTTCTCAGGGACGCAGGCTCAAGCAGCCAGAGAGGTAAACACAGCTTCTCTCTGTCGAATTGGCCAAGAGACTGTGCAGGACATTGTATTTCGAACCATGGAAATCTTCCAGTTACTGAGGAATATGCAGGTGAGAAATAACTTTTTCATTTATGGTCCTCAACTTCCTGTGTTTTTACCACCAACTGCTAGTATATGTAGGCACAGGAGATAGCTTAGGACATTTAAATACATAACTCCATCAAACTGCTTTGGAAAGGAGGATTGATTGGAGAACCGAACGCTGCTCTTAATATAATTTGCTTACACCTGTACATTAAGTGAAGATGGAGAAAATTCAGAAATGCTGAATTGTTATTACCTCCTCAATAAATATACTCTAAATACACTTACTATCTGTGTTTTCCTTTATGAATAGTGAAGTCTTTATATGCCAGTTATGTTTCTGTTTTTGTTAACACCTGGGGAGTAATTTTAGCAGAATTTTCATTGATCTTTTTCTGTAATGTTTTTTACTTTTGACATTTCTTTCTGTTATTAAAGTGGACATAATCCTTATTTGTGGCTGCTTACTGAGAAAATGTACAAACATTTGTTGTGTTTCTTTGTTGAGAGAGAAGATAAATAATCACTCGCATTCCCTCTGTATTTTCATGACTCTGGCAGTTTCCGTCTGTAATTATGTTAGGTAAAGGTATATGTACTTAGAGTTTGCTAACTTTGAATTCACTTTGATTGTGTCTCTGAATTGTGACCTGAATTGTGAGTGTAATACTCATAACAGACAACAACAGTGTCATGTTTAAGCATTTTGAAGACAGTCACTGAAAAGAGTTACAGAGGGATTGACAATGACCAAAGTGTAGAATACATGAAGCTGTTTGACAGCAGTGATTTGGCACGTCAGATGAGCAGATAAAACACAGAATTTTGCTGATAAAGAACATAAAAGTGGTGGGGATAGTGTGATCATCGTATTTTAAAATGTGCAAATCCTCCCTGATTTATTTTAGTTTACTTCTTTTGTGAGAGAAACTTTAACATAATATTTTTCATGTTTTGGGGTTTTGATTCTCTAAGTTACCGAATGGTGTTACTTATCATACTGGAACATATCAAGACAGACTGGGAAAGCTGCAGGAACATCTCCGTCAGCTATCAATACTCTTCAGAAAACTGAGACTAGTCTATGACAAATGCAATGAAAACTGTGCTGGGCTTGATCCTGTTCCCATAGAAGTAAGTATCTCTGATCATATATAAATTACAAATCAGAATAACCACTCTCTGCTTAGCATATCATCCATTCCCCTGAGTTGCAGGAGACTCATAATAAATTTTAAATGAGACTAGAATTGTTCAGTGGACTGAATTCTGTTTATTATTTGGAGCTGGTTGAAAGATTGTGAAACTTTCACATTAATATCAACAATTCTTACCATTTCGGAGGGATGCAATTTTGAAATCAAACTTCATTTAAAATGTTAGCCTTTTTCCTCAGGCTTCTTGGTACTTTCACCAATTTGTTTCCACTAGGGAAAAAAAAAGAGAGTCAAAAGAGTCAGGGCAAATTTTTGTTTTTCTTTTAAAGAAGTTGTTAGAGTGAGAAAAAGTCTGCTTTAAGCTCTCACCAGCCAGCCTGGCTCCCTGCATAATATGCCTTATTCCCTTGCTCTGGCCATCAGTCGGTGCCTCCATAGTTCCCTCACTCAGCCACTCTTAACCTGCTGAGCCAGTACGAACCAAATCTGAATGTGCAGTGGTGATGGAAGAGTGAACAGCATAAGATTTCCAGTAGGATTGGCCAGAGTTTTTCCTAGTAAGAATGCTGTTCCTAGTAAACCCAAAACTTCATTCCCCCTGCCACGTTAAGTTGTTTCCAGTTCCTAGTAATGGTCTTAAAGCCGGTTTTTTGTTGAGTTGAGTTACTACAGCTCTGTATTAACCAGAACTGTGAAGTTCTTTAATTACTGACCTCTAGATTCTGAAGCAACTCTATTAGTAGACTTCTGATTGTCCATTGAGGTTTAAGCATTGTATTTTACATATGAATCTCTTCACTGAATAGGAATAAAGAAATGAAGGAGTCCGTTCTGTACAGTCCATTCTAGACTACTAATTCACTTGTCAGCAGTCACTTAGAGCAAGCAAGGGAGTAAGATAACTTCCCAATTGAAAAAATAATACTTTTTTGATGGTTTGTTGACTTTTGTGCAATAGCTCAGTACTTGTGTCCCCTGTAAAAGCTTTTGATGTGTCTTGTTTTCACATACAGTTGGGATGAGGTAGGGTTGGTGTTTGTTGTGGGGGTTTTTTTTGTTTGTTTTTTTCTTTTCACAGTTTTGTCCTGTTACCAGGATGAAAAAGAATCTCCATAGACAAAATGAGTGGTCCCATTAAGCTTTTTTAATGCAAGGTCTCACTGATACCTTACACACAGGAGAGTTTTGTATCAATAGTTGGAATTCATTTTTATCTACTTAGTCTTTTCTGCTCTGAAGTTAACAGAATGCCTACCTCCTCATGTTTTATTAGTTAGGGTGAATGAGAGTGGCCACCTTTCCCCTTGGATCAGTTTTCTTAAATCCTTATTTCAACTTTTCAATAATAGTTTCAATCACATTATTTAATGACTGACATTCTAACCTTATCTTTAAAGAATATCAACAAATCTCTTTTTTTAAACAGTCATGAGAAGTCAGTACCTACCAATATTCCTTAGTCTATTCTTATTGATATAAATGTTTTTATATTTTTTTGTTACTGTGTATTACCAATGTATTAGGTAGTACTTTCTGTTAAGTCTTTCTTTGTTGTTTTTTTTTTTTTTTTCTGCTAGCTTTTCTGAAAGATGGGAGGTTTTCAAAGGAAATGTTCTACTTTGAGTGATACATTATTTTTCCATCAAAGAGAGAAGTTGCTTTTTCCAAGAGTATTTGACAGCCACACTACTTCTTTATGGCATGCAAATGTAGTAAATTGTTAACCTTTACAGTGTTTTCCTGGCAGAGATTAGTGTGGTAGTTTTTCTCTATTTTGATAAGCTTAATAAGAATAGCCTACAAAAATTTTTGTATAAAACAAAATTAAATTTTCAGTGGGTTAAGTGAAAGTAAGTTTTCCATCAGAATGCTGAAGGATGCTGCCGAATGCTTTGTATCAGAACTAGCGTGGCCATCAGGACTAGGGAAGTGATCGTCCCCCTGTAATCAGCACTGGTGAGGCTTCACCTCGAGTACTGTGCTCAGTTTTGGGCCCCTCAGTACGAGAAAGACATGGAGGTGCTGGAGTGTCTCCAAAGCAGGGCAATGGAGCTGGTGAAGGGTCTAGAGAACCAGACCCTTATGAGGTGCGTCGAGGGAACTGGGGTTGTTTAGCCTGGAGAAAAGGAGGCTGAGGGGAGACCTGATCGCTCTCTACAACTACCTGAAAGGTGGTTGTAGCCAGGTGGGGGTCGGTGTCTTCTCCCAAGTAACAAGTGATAGGACAAGAGGAAATGGCCTCAAGGTGTGCCAGGGGAGGTTTATACTGGATATGAGGAAAAACTTCTTCACGAAAAGGGTCATCAATCATTGGAAGGGGCTGCCCAGGGAAGTGGTTGAGTCATCATCCCTGGAGGTATTTAAAAGATGTGTAGATGTGGTGCTTAGGGACATGGTTTAGCGGTGGACTTGGCAGTGTTAGGTTAATGGTTGGACTCAATGATCTTAAGGGTCTTTTCCAACCTAAACGATTCTATGATACTATTACACCCCAACCTAAGTAACAGGTTAATATGTACGCAATGAGCAACTTGCTCCCAGACTTTTAAACTAATGCCTTCTTGCTCATTTGCATCAATTACTAGTCTTTCATTTGGCTGTAATGTGTATGTGAACAAGGGTGTAATTTTGCCATCAACTTTAGCTTTTCTCAGTTCAGGACAAAAAAATGAACAATAGCCTGTAGGCTTTGTGGATATATGTTATGTATAAAATGTTGCAGCTTATAATTATTTTTGAATAAGATGTTAGTAGCTTGGGAGTGTTCTGACTCAGAAGCATGTATTTGTTTTATATCTAGTATATTTACTGATTCTTTTTAGTTTTTTTTTTTTTCCAGGAAGGCAACATGCATTAATATTCATTTAGAAATTCTTTATCAAAGATTTTTGGCTTTGTAGAAGCTTATAAAAAAGATAGTACACTATATGCCTGAGAAGTGCACAGTGGGAAATTCTTACAGAAATACTCCTGTTAGGTAACTGTGGGCCTGGTCTTAAGAATAGCCAAACAGAGGCCCACTAAAATAGCATATCATAATTACAGTATTAACCAAGTACCTCTGTAAAGCTAGTCATAATTAGGTTTAGTATATCACTGAAATACTTTATAATAATGATAATTTCACGTTTGTGGTATTTCATAGTGTGGAACAGTATATTTTAAAATCACAGTCTACAGAGTTCAACAATACAAGGATTACCTGTGGTAAACATCTTAAAATGTAAAGACTGGGTTCTGCCTGCGGTTGTGAAATTGCTTAGGTCTAGGCATGGTAATATATGGGATTGTAGCTTTTTGAAGCACATTGTTGTCCTGGAGAACCGACTAATGTCATTGCAAGGCCTTTGGGTTTGAGGCAATGAAGTAAGCTGTCTCTACTTCCTCTTGGAAAATTTGAACCTTTGGAGCAAATGGTAGTACCTTACATATCTCCTGGTTTTTGATTTCTTTATTTTTTAGCTAATGTTTCTTGTCTTCACAGCAACTTATTCCATATGTTGAAGAAGATGGCTCCAAGCATGATGATCGTGGTGCTGCAAGTCAGCTTCGTTTTGCTAGTGAAGAGAGAAGGGAAATCATGGAAGTAAATAAGGTAACAAAGTTGAAATTAATTTGCTTAAAACTGTCACTTTGTCATTACAAAGATTAAATTTCTAGATTGCGGTACTAAATGCAGCATGTGTGATGACTATCATCAAACTTGGTAATAGTGCAGCATGTGTGATGACTACCATCAAACTTCGTAATAAATACTATGTAACTATTTCAGAATTACCTTTTAGTAAGCAATTTTTTTTTTTGCTGTACCTCTGGCTGTAGAGTTTAGATTTCCTGACAATTTTAACTTGTGCCTCTTTTTAAACTGATACATATTCTTCTGAATACGGTGTATTATGTTTCTGCTTAACCCACTAGATATCGACAGTAGAGATTGAGGTAAGGCCCTTGTTGAACTTACTTCTCTTCAAAGCTTACCTTAGGCATTAAAAGATAGGTATTGAACATCGGATGTGTAAATATTATCACAATAATGTGAGCTGGTAAAAGATTTTCAGGGCTACTTTCTGTGTTTTGATAATTTGAGGAAGACCATTCCTTTTGTTAAATGTAGCATTTATTGAATCTTGGTGCATTCAGAAAAAAATATACTATCTATGATAAAGATGCTGTTAAATTTTCAGTTTGAGTGGCAGTATGCAACTCAATATAATTACTAAAGATGGGTTCAAATCTAAAAATAAATATGCTGTAGTAAATGCTAATGTAATATTGAGATTAAAAATATGTAGTTTTACCAGACCACAATTTTGAACATTGTTTCTTCAAATCTGTAGAGTATAAAGATAAAGTATTTCTGGAGCTGTAATGTCTGTAAATGCTTGGTAAAAAGGAGGCATAATCTACAAGAATAACTGAACAAAAGAAATAAATGAGTAAATTATTTCTTTATGGAGAGAATAATTGGTGGATTTTCAGCTGTTAAAATATTTCCGATATTTTAATTTGTCTTCAACAATCAGAGATGTACCGAGGTTTTTCATAACCCATTTACTTGAAAAATACATGCATATTGTAAGGAGAAAATGAGGACTATGTGAATTTAGAGAAAAGCAGTTGTCTGCTTTCTTGTTGTATTCTTTCTGTTCAGTGCTGATGTAGCAGGGTTGTATATATTATATTGTATGTAATGTTGTATTGTGAATTTATGCACATTTATTTGCAATCTTTAAGTGCTAATAAGCTTAACTGTCCATATTTGCTATGTTTTTGATAGTTTTATGACATGTTTTTGCCCTTGTTGTTGTACTTGTATGCTAATAAGTTTTTAAACCTCCTTGATGTGATCTTGTGAAAAGAATTTCATAAATGTTTACGATGAGCTCTAAACCTTAAAAAGGTTGATGGTGTTACAGGACCATTGGTAGCAAATTGGTAATTAGGAAAGTACGCAGACATTCACTTAAATCTGGTCTGAAATCCTGTATTTACGCTTCGATGCCTAGACCTAGTTTCCAGATTTTCCACAGTAAATCTTCAGAAGATAATTTAACTTCCTTTAGTATTTTTTGTGGATAAATATTTACTAACTGCTGCAAAAGAAATTTAAACTTCTTGTTTTTGAAAGCACAGAATTTTTTTCTTTTGTCTCTCTCCGGCTGTATAAGCACATCCGCTACTACTTTCAAAGTTCAAATTTTACTACATTACAGAATAGGAAATGCTTTGAGATTTTATGACTAGAAATAAAGAAATTCTTATTTTTGTGAAGAAAAATCACTAGAATCGGGTTAATTGGTCTAATTTCTGACACTGGCTGCTGGGCTCAGCGAAGAGTCAGAGAAGACTATCTGGCATTTCATTCCTGACAGCTTTTCAATCTGCTGTAGGATGTAACATCCACCTCCAGCTCAATTTTGCTTAATTTATTTTAGCAAAATGTCAGTAATACAAAATGTTGATGAAAATGCTGTGACAGGGAAACCAACGTGACAGATGAAGAAGCTTTTTATATTCTTGACCCACTATCTTTTCTCCCTTTAGCTGGTTGTCCTGCTCTCACCTAGCCCTTTTTTCTGTGATAGGCAGTATTTTTTCAGTCTTGCATGTTACTGGTACCAAAAAAAGCATTATTGCAATAACCCAATACTTTCACACTATTGAGACATTTGAATTCTTAGAGCTTTCATGGGTCTTTTAATTTTGCCCTTCTTGCTGTGTTATCCCAGCCAGTCTGATCTCTGTAGTGGCTCTGGTTACATGTGAAAGTCACTAACAGCCCTGCACTGTGAAACACAACCAAAACTAGTAGATCATGTAAACCTTATGGATCATGTATTCTCCCACAAAAACATCCCTCCTTCCAGAAACCACTGACTTGAAACTTAGCAGCTCTGCTTTGCTACAGCAGTTGTCTGGGAAGGGGGCATCCTCACTGGAGGAGGTGGGGAGCATCATGTACTTCCTATAGTCACCATGTCACTCTTGTGGCAGAAGAACCTGTTGATGTAGCAGAGTTCCAAAATACTGCAGTAGCTTTTGATGTTGGTTTACTGTATAGTCACATCTTTTGGTCTTATTTATTTATTTATTCTGCTCTATCAGACTTACCGTTTGGGTCAGAAAGTTTAATGCCCCCACCTTGGCTAAGAAGTACTTGTCCATTAATTTAAAATATAGATCAGATTACAAGGTAATGAATTTCTGTCCTAGCAATTCAGTAATATTTAGCAACCGTAGGTTTAAAAATCTATTAAGCTTAAAAACAAAAGGGATTTTTGTCAGCAGTTACTAAAAAGAGTGCACCATAATTATAAAAAACAGAAACAAATGATTTATTGAATACTGACTACCTCTACCTTTTGTACTAAACAGTTCTCTCCTGCAGTTCCCCAAAATGTTGCTTGTTCCTTTTATCTGTATTTGCTTTCCAGGTTTGTAAATTGTTGAGGTGGCTGACTCTTCTTTGGAATACATAATTTACTGTTCCAGAGTCAGTTTAGCATTTGCATGGTCTGCTAATACAAGTTCTGATCGAGTTTTCATTGAACATAATTACTATTTGCAACAATTGGAAGCCGTTACCAAAATTTTCTCACTTGTCTTCATGTTTTTTGAGTCTGTAATGTTCTGTCTACAGGTTTCTTAACGCTCTAAGTATAGCATCATCTATAATATTTTCAAGATGTCAGGCTCACCTTGGGTTCATGGTCTTGTGGTACATTTGACAGGCTTACAACAGAAAATATCAAATCACAGACTGAGAACACTTTAATCTGTGTTGCTGCCTTATCAGCAGTTTTCTTTACTGCTTGTTTTTAAAAATGGAGCAAATACAGCTTTAGGTTTTTGAATGCTGTAGGTCTGCTTTCAAATGAAGTGCATGCGGAAACCATCACATAATTAGTAGTCTCAATACATTTGGGTGAAAATGAAATGATGTGAAATAGCATTAAGACATTTCAGGTGATCCTTTAGAATATAATCATGTTTGATATTCTTAATTAATCTTTGTTAACTGGTTAACAGTGATCTTGCTAAGAGAGAGGAAAAGACAATCTACATGACAGGCTTTTAAGTTAAGCTGTTAGCTGTGGGCTTTTTTGGTAACAAAACCATTGTGCACTGCAGCTGATGTTTAGCAAGTAGTCCTTAAGGTGACAGCAGTTTGCAATTAGTCTTTCTCTTTGGAGACCTTTGCCTGAAAACTACTTTTGACTATGCTGAAAATTTGCATTACTTTTTAAAGTCTTTCACACAATTTGCATATATTTTTAGTTTGTTTTGTATTTGTAGAGTCCTTTTTCACCGCAAATACGAACATGCACCAAGGAACACTTTAACAAGAGAGGAAGAATTGTTTATTTGGACACCTTCTCAGCAGATTAATCTGCACTGGGTGCAGTTCCATCCTCTTTTGGGTACCCAGACTGGCTCTCTGCAATGGTAGAATTGTAGAGGAATTTAGGCTCTGGATGATCTGGCAACTATCTGATTCAATCCCCAGCTCAAAGCAGGGCCAACTATCAAAGTTAGATCCAGTTGCTCAGGCTCATACCCAGTAGCATTTTGAATGGTAAGTAAGAAAGAATGGACATTCTTCCCTTTCTGGGCTCTTCTTCAGTGTTTATCAGCTTTCACTGTGAAAGTTTTTCTAATGGTACATTGGAATTTTCTTTGTTGTAACTTGTGTCTGCTGCCCCTCATCCTTTTGCTGTGTACATTCAAGAGTAGTCCAGCTTCGTCTTTTCTATGATCTTCATTAGGTAGCTGAAGACAGCATCATGATCCTTCCTCAGCCTTCTCTGCTTGAAACTAAACAAACCTGGCTCTAATCATCTTGGTGGCCTTCCACTAGATGTTCTCTAGTATGTTAGTGTTTTATATTGAGCCTAAAATTGCACAATCGTTCTCCAGAGCCAAGTAGAGGAGAGTAACGATTTCGCTTGACCTGATAGGTACACTCTTGCCAGCACAGCGTGCAATTGGTCTTCATTGTTGCAAAAAGATCCACTGCTGACTCATGTTCATCTTGTCAGAAAGTTTCTAAAAGGACCTCAGGGTTTTTTTTTACGCAAATCTGCTTTTTATTTATTCAGCCTTCTGCCTGTCCTCTTGTATGAGTTTATTCTATTTTCAGATGTAAGATGTTGTTTTAATTGAAGTTGCCGAGATGATTGTTGGCCTGCCTTTTCCGCATGTTGAGGTCCCTCACTGAATATATTGACCGTTTCCCCCCAATTTGGTCTTGTCCACAAATTTGATACTTTGAAACAGTGATTAAGTCATTAAGTGTGGATAAGTCATTAATGAGGATATTAAGAATATTGACCTTAGTATCAATCCTGAGAAACAGCAAGAGTGACCGACCAGCTGCCCCTTGGTCTTAATACTGCTGACTACAACATTTAGAATCCAGTAGTCTAGTCAGTTTTCCATCAACCCTATAATCCACTGTCATGGTTTAGCCCCAGCCGGCAGCTGAGCACCACATGGCTGCTCGCTCACTCCTTTCTCCTGGTGGGATGGGGAGGAGGATTGGAAGAAAAATATAAAACTCATGGGTTAGGGTAAGGACAGCAAAGGAAGATGAAGATAACACCACCAATACTTATAAAAGAATATACAAAGCGGATGATACACAATGCAATTTGCTCACTGCCCAGAGTCCAGTGCTCAGCCCATCCTGAGCAGTGACCCTTTCTCCCCGGCCAGCTCCTCCCTTATGTCATGACGTCATGGTATCCAATATCCCTTTGGTTAGTTTGGGTCAGCTATCCTGGCTGTGTCCCATCCCAGCTTCTTGTGAAAATTAACTCTGTCCTAGCTGACAACCAGGACATCCACCTATCCAAACCACATCTCTTCAATTTGGCTACAAGGGTACTATGAGAAACTGTGTCAAAAGCCTGACTATTATGAAAGTAAACAAAATCCCCTGCTCTCCCCTTGGCCACACAGCCAGTCATTTCTCAACGGAAGGCTATCGTGCTGGTCACGCACAACGCATCTCTGATAAATCCCAGATGACTGTTCCCAGTCACCTTACCATTCATGTGTCTGGACATGACTTCCAGAAGGATTTTCTGCATAGTTTTTCTGGCCCCAGGGTTAGGCTGACCAGCTTGTAGTTTCTGTAGTTTTCTGGATCCCCCTCCTTGCCTTTCTTGAAGATGAGTTGAGATGTTTCCTTTTTCATCAGGAGCCTCTCCTGATGAATATTCTCCAATAGAAAATTATGTAGAGTGGTCTCGTCATCAGCCAGCTCTCTCAGCTCTCAGATGCATTTTATTTCATATAATGAAATATTTCCTCTTCAGTTTCATATAAAATGTTTCATGCAACAGTTTTCATGTAGGTTCCTGTATCAAAACAGTATCATGGTTATAAAGTTGAGAAAAGTTAGGAAATGCCAAACTTAAAGCTATCCCTACAATCCCAATTGTCCCCTTTTGTCCTCATATAAATGCATATTACACAACCTTTATTACATTATTACATGATCACATTTAGTTCCTCCTCACACTTCCCTCCTCTCCCCGCTCCTTTCTTTTCTGGAAGAGTCCTTGAGCTATTCTGCTTTTGCTGCAGACTAGGCACTATTTAGATTGAATCAGTATCATGATAAATAACATTATAAGAATCCTGCTTTATGTATTGTGTAACTCGCATGAGGGTATTGAATAAGCAGGGTATTTGGGAACAAGAAGGAAGGATTCAATGTGAGTAAGTAACTGAAGGCTGCTCTTGAACTGGATTTTTATCCTTGTCTGTGGTAGTTGTGCATTCTTCCCCTCACAGTTGGTGATAGCTGTCCTTTGAATACATGGGAAGCTGTTAAAATACAAAGTTTAGTGATGGACTTGAATCTTAGATGTCTCTGCACAAAGTTAGTAGGCGCTCCAGTTTTACCCACAGTGTTCCTGTGATTTAGTTTGCCATCTGTAACTGAGGATCATACATCTGTGTGATTTTCACGTTAAGAATGGGGATGTAACACTGAGGACTGTGGTGGAGAAGCACCTTGGGGAATGGATAATTCCATTACAAGCTACATAGCTTAGCAGGAACTCAGTAAATAAGACCTCAGACTTCATCATTGAATGATAAATAATTGGTATGAAGCAAATATCCACCAATTTTAATGAGCACACTTACTCCTCTTTGAACAACAGAGCAGTGGATACATGCAATTGCTGTCTGGTTCAATATGTAAAAAGCACTGAGCATGCAGAAAGAGCAGTTTTTCTCGCACTTGTCAGGTGAGGCAGAAACCCCAGTCTCTCATTTCCAGTAAGAATAGAACAGTTATGCCTGTGAATGACATCAGCAAAAGCTGTAGTTACTGAACAGTGAGTGTGTTAATGTTTAATTGCACAGCAGTTAGTGTATTAGTGATGAATACTTTTTATCCATTTGAAAATATACTATAAATAGATGGATATGTGAATTTATTATGATGGAAAGTGGGCCTTGGTATCAATTGAGTAGCAGAAACATGCCTGTCAGATATAAGGTGAATTTAGATCTCAAACTCATTATAAACTGCCTCATATAAGACAATTTTCCTGTGCTATCTTAAAACAGATAAAGTCAGAAGCTGTAGGATGAAGTACCTTTTCTTGTTTCATACAACTGTAATCCTGAGAAGCAGTCCAGAGTTCAACTAAGTCATTTCAGTAGAAGGAGGAAAAAGTGGGAGACAACTTGCAAGCAATCTGTTCAAATGAAATTTTGTCATAGCTGCAGAAGCCACTCACAGAACTTGCCCATTTCTCAAGAAGGCCATTTCACCTATCTTTCCAAGGTTAGACCTGAGCTGAGATGTTCTTACTGTCTCAGCAAAGTCTTAAGCAGAGGCCAGCACTGCCAGTGGTGCAGAACTTATTAATTATGTAGTACTTTGTGGTGTGGACCACTGCCTGTCAGAGATTGGTAACAAAGATTACTATATGCATTTCAATTAGACCATGCTCTCTGAAGTGGATTTTCCCCCCTCTCTTTATTCTTTTTTCAACCTAGCACTCCAGAGATGGTGCTTCATCTTAGAGGTTTTTTCTGTCTCTGGAAAAAGTAGAATAGAAGAGCTAAGAAAATAGCTCTTCACTGAAGACAGGGATCTAAAATTATCTTCAGATAAATAAAGTAACAATTGTATACTTCTTGTCTTTACAGATGCTTTGAAAACAAATGAAATCCAATTTGAAGGTTCCCTTGTCTAGCATCAAGTAAAGATCAAGCAATTTACAGTTTCATAACACTTGCACAGGAAATGAAAACAGTCTTACAGAATGAGTCTTTTGGGCGTAACTTATGTAAAGTTCATGTGAGCATACCTACATAACAATATTTAACAGTACAATTTGACATGGATGGAGAGAGAACACAATCTGCATTATCAGAGGTTAATGGTTCTTTCTGTCTGTGACTTGAATAACCATCACTGACTGTTCAGCCTTTGTTTCTATTGATGAAGGCTTTGAAAAATCATGGAATGCCATGCCCTCGGTATCAGTGAGTGACAGCTCGCATTAAACCAGTAGTTTTGATGTAACATTCATTGATTTTGCTAAGATTGAATGTTGAGGATGGCAAACAGAAGTATGTTTAAAAATGCCACAGGTATGAACATGCTGGTTTATCTCATCCCTCTTGTGCTTTCTCAAGCATCAAGTTCTTATATTCTGAGATTTTGTAGGGAGACGCTTAGAATTCTGTCATTTGGATGCTGTGGTAACAACATGCTTCTCGGTTTTCTCTCTTCTCTTTAAGAGCTGGATCTCTGCTGTATATCCTGAAGTCTTAGATTAGCAAATGGAAAAGAAAGAAGCATTAGATAAATGCACATAGTTACCTTTAAAATACTTTTTAGTCTTTTAATAATACTTATAATAATAACAGTCTTTTAATAATAAAATACTATTATGCTTGATTAGAAATTCTGAATTAGTGCACCTGAACTGTCCTACATCTGTGTTCACATGCTTCTCAGGAGTCTGGAATTGAGTGTTGTCTTTGCTTCCAGGGAACCTGGCCACCAATGTCTGTGTTCAGGAACATTTCTCTTAGTCAAAGTACTATATTCCCTATGCAATCTAAGCCTTATTACCGTATTACTTCAGACCATTTTTACAGGTCCGAAGTGAATAGACTTCCTTTTTTTTTCTCTGGACTTCTTTCCCAGCTGACTAGCTGGGCAACTTAAAAGTATTTGGTATGTTGTCCACATCAAAATTCAGGAGATTGATTTTCAAGATACTGCTTCTTTTGTTGCTTCTGTTTATCCCCGTTCCAGTTATTTTGGTCATATCACTGATCTCAGTTATCCTTTTAATATATTGCCATTTATGTAGTGCAAATAACAAAGTTATGTCAAGCCTGAAACATTTGGATAGTTTGTCCTCTTTGGGTCGTAGCAAGTCTTTCCTGTGCTTACACTTTACTTGGAACTCTGTATTTCCCTAATGAATAAATAATTTGCTCTCTAATATGGGAATGCTGACATCTTAGGCAATTGAAATGAAATGAAGGACATAGGTTGTCATTAGCAATACACAGTAACTTAGTTCTTGTCAGCTTTGATTTGAGCAGGAAAACAAATAAATCAGACAATAAATATGTGTCATATTGTGAAACATGGAGGGTTAGGGAGATTGTGCAGTGTCTTAACGCACTGATCTTTCTTCTGTAAAGACATAACTTTTAAGTTCTGGTTACGCACCCAAATAAAAGCAGGTTTCCTGCTCTTTTGTTCCTTCAGATGATTCTGCAGTTCACAAAACCAAATACACAATTTTAAAGAATTCAGCATGCTTGGGAATAACTGTTTCCAGACAGGACCCCTTAGCAGATCAGCATTGACCTACATAGGCAGGAGAGCTGGAAAAGCTTGTTTGACTTCACCTGTACCTTGTGCTTTGTTCAAACTTCTACTGTTAATCCCTCATTTTTCTGTGCACCCAAGTTATATAACATATATTCACATAATTTTGCCTGTTCCCTGAACTCTTTTGGTCCAAATTACCAATTCTGTCTTCCTACATAAAGTGCTGTCTTTTGGGCTTTGGAAAGAGAAGACCAATCCTCACAAGCCTCCAGTTTTTGAAGGGATCAAGTGTTTTGATAAAAAGACTGCTGTGAAAAGAAACAGCATTTCCCCTCTAGCAATGGTACTTAACTTTTGAGGCTTTCTTGTATTTTTAGTGTGCTTTAAAGAAGATGTATTATCCCAGTAATACTGCTCGCAGACAACTGAGAAAAATATCTATATAGTATTTCATAACACTCTAACTTTTGTTGAGTTTCTGAGTGCACTATTTGAACTGACCACAAAAAAACTTCTAATGAACTCTTTCCACAGAAACTGAAACAGAAGAATCAGCAGCTGAAGCAGATCATGGATCAGTTACGGAATCTCATTTGGGACATAAATGCCATGTTGGCAATGCGGAACTGAACAAGGAAAATCAAACTTTGTAATTGGAATAGATACAAATTTGTTTAGATATATTTAATTTCTTTGTAAGAAGTAACATGTTTTTCCCACAACCATATTGCAATAATGTTTCAAAAGTCTTCAAGAGTAAAATGTTTGGGTTTTGTAATAATGGTGTTGGCTTTGTTTCTATAAGAGATTCATCTTACAGGTTTTACCTGAGTGATTCACTTAGGCTGAATATATACAGCCTAAGTAGCTTAAAGTAATACTTTTGATTGCTATGCAAATGGGGTTTTTTATAAATGGAGTGTTTCTGGATTTTTTTTTTTTAATAATACAGTTAATACTGTTTTAAAAATGTGTGTTTGCATGCCATTTGCAGTGCAAACCACCTCTACAGGCAGGAAAAGTTGCAATACAGGAAAGTCACTCTAGTAAGCTACAGGACCAAAATAAGTGATCGGCTATTACAACGCAATGTGTTTCCCCATTGTGGGAATGTATACTACAGGCTGCTATGCCATATAAGTTCATCTTACTCCATATCCTATTGCTGGATATATGTTATATTAGATAATCAGAGCAAAATTCAGAAGCTACATAAAATTACCCCTGTATCCTTATGGATATAATTAAGTCTTTTTAAGTGAAGACTACATACATATGTCTTCAACATTAACTTCTTCTGTAATGACATGTTATAATTTCTTGAGTACTGCTCCAGCTATTGTATTGCGTAGTATTCCTGTAGCATTATGTGTGGTTGGAATACTTTGGGTTTGTTTACCAGAACGCACTGAATAAACACCTCATTCATCTTTTCCCTATGACTGCCTAGAATACTTTGGAGTATATGAGCAGTTCGTTATTTTGAATTAATCGTCAGCCTTCATCTTTCTTTGTTCTGCCTCTGGTGTTTCTCACAATTTTCATTAGCCCTGAAAATATTCTTAATAATTTTTGTTATCCACAGATGCTGCCAGTGCTCTATGTGTCTCTTTTTTCCAGATTAAAGAATAAGTTAAATAATACTGTTTCAGTACAAATCTGTAGGACACACTGCTGTTAATATTTGTCAAGTTGAAACCTGACCATCCTCATGACTGGCTTCTTGTGCATTCCTTGTAACTCTTATTCCATGCCCAGTCAGATTCCTTAATAGTTTTGTGTGAAAGATTTGCTCAGAACCTTCTGAAGATTACAGTTAAATGGTATCCTGTTAAAAGATGTCATTTTTACAATATGGGGTTGTGTTGGGTTTG